TTGATTTCTTTGTTGATGTGAATGGTTAAAAAATTTTTGTGGATGTTCAGTATCAGTGTAGGCTTGTAGTTGACATAAAAGATATTACTTTTGGTGATGCAAATTAGTATCGACAGTATACTTTTTACCGACGCATAATTTTGCATTGCCAAAAATTATATCTTTTAGCAACGCTATCTTGCGTCGTCAAAGATATAGTTTTTAGCAACGCTTCATTCTGCGTCGCTAAAAGCTACACTTTTGCCGATGCTAACTTACGTCGTAAAAAGTATAATTTTTAGCAAAAAATAGTTTTGCGTGGCTAAAAGCTATACTTTTGCCGACGCATTTGCTTTTGCCGACGACGCATGCGTCACCAAAAGTACAAGTTTTGCCAACGCACTTTTGCATATGAAAAATTTTGCATACTTTTGCCAATGCAAAATATTATGCGTCGCTAAAAGATGTACTTTTCCCGATGCATAAAATGTCGCCAAAAGTATTGACTTTTACCGACGCAGTGCGTTTGCGTCGCTAAATATTTTCCTTGATGCACTTTTGGTGACGCGTTAGCGACGTTGTATTTTACGTCGGGAAAGATTTTTCCCGATGTTTTTTAAACTTTTACCAATGTTTTTGTTTCATCGACAATGTTGTATTTTGTTGTAGTGTTCTCTCTTTTGTAAATTGGGAAACCATAAGAGAAATTATAATTTCTTTTTTCTAAATCAGTTAGAGAGATTGTTGTGAGAGATTGTATTTATTTTTTCTAAGTCAGTCAGAGAGATAAATACAGAATTTTATTCTCATTTCTTCTTTAATTTTTCCATAAACAAAAGATGATGACTCCGCTGGGGACTAGCTTTTTCACCGATGAAAAAGTGATGGTGCAATCTGATATCAATCTCGCTGGAACAGCGGTTGAAACTCTTGTTGTGGAGTTTGGCCAAGCCAAGTAGAAGGAAGCAATCTCCTCTGGATCCCTTAGCCCCGAGGCTATGCGTAAGATCAGCAAAGTCTCCAAGGAGACTAAAGCTCCAATTGTGACTGAATCACCAAAGGAGGGCCTCTTCTTTGGAATAGATGGCTCGAACGACCTCTCCTCTAAAGGAGTAGGTTCAGTTGCAGTTAAACTTGGTAATCGAGTTGAAGATTTTACGCCCGCATCAAAACGATGGGTATCGGGTCACAAAAGGCTCATGGCGGCGACAAACTTGATCAACACAAATAATGACACTACAAAAGCCTTGAGACAGGCTAAGAAAAACGTTGCTCGACGAAGGAGGAGTTCCCTACGGCGAGCATCAAAGAAAGCTGATCTGTCAACCAACGCGAACTCCGTGTTTGTGAGCCTCAGCACGAGCCTCACGTTTCGACTTTAGAACACAAGTCTCATATTGATGAGCCCAAATATGAGCCTCGTGTTATCCAATTGAAATGCGACCCTCAAGGGAGCGTTTCACAATCAAAACGCGACCCTCAATGGAGCGTTTCACAAACAAAACGTGAACCTCAGGCCTGCGTTGATCCATCAAAACACGACCCTCAAGGGAGCGTTTCACAAACAAAAAGCGGACCTCAGGCCTGCGTTGCTCCATCAAAACGTGACCCTCAAGGGAGCGTTTAGCCAGCAAAACACGGATCTCAGTCATGCGTTGCTCAAACAAAATGCGACCTTCGCGTTCCCATTCTCAAACATGACTCTCGAGTTTCAAAGGTTAAACGTGACCCTCGTGTTCCTTCTCCGGAACGCAATGTGATTTATCTTGTTCAAAAAGACCAACATGGATTTAAGATCCATGTGCACCAAGAACCAGTCTCGCCTACTGATGGGCAGGGGGTTCCAATTCAGACCTCATGTTCAGTGGGAAACATTCCTCATGTCTCTAATCTAAGGGAGATTTTGTCGAGAGAAAGACTGGTGCAACAAGCCCCTCATTCATGCCAATGTGAGCGACTTATTTCTACGGTCCTCTCAAAATGCCAATATTGCACTTCTGCGCCTAGACGGTCGGTGTTCGACCAATTGATGAACGTTGTCTGACCTAACAAGCGACGACGTCACTACAAGAAGAAAGCTTCAGAGGCCGAATATCCTGAAGTTGCTATTAATATGATCGGCCGAACGAAATCGTCAGTCCCTAATTTTGATGAATCAGAGATGGATTGTTCTCCAAGCGTCAAAGAAATCGCAAATGAGTTTGAAGGGATCTACCAACGCACTCGGACACGAATGGGAGTCATTCCCCCTGTCGATTATCAGAGATTAGCTAGAGGAACAAATTCTGATGATGAACATTCGGCCATCGTGGAGTCTTAATCCTCTAATTCTTTCATTGAACATGAGAATTCCATTTACATGGCAGGGAATCCTGAAGATCTCATGAAGAGACTCAATGAGTAGCAAGCTATGCTCAGATCTCAGCAAGAGACTATCAATGAACTCCGAGCCTTGATGGTCTAGATCATTACGGATAGGGCCAAATCTCAAAAAACAAACTCGCCGTCTCGACATGAATCCTCCCGAAGAGTAAGAGCAACTTCATCAAAGGGAAAAGACAAAGTGTTTGAGACTTCTGATCAGGAGGCCCACCACATAGAATATTCCTCTGAAGAGGAAAAAGAAGCCGAGAATGAATACAATCCTCAATCAGCCAAGATGGATGAATTGGAAGCTCGCCTCAATGCTATTGCCAATAGAAGCGAGCTCCAAGAGGAAGGAGTTGTGAGGCCTTACTCTGCTGAATGGGATGCAGCCTATTATCCTCCCGGGTTCAAATCCCCTACTCTACAAGCTTTTGATGGTACAGGATCGCCCAACCAACATATCTACTATTTTAAGTCACGGACTAGGAATGTGATATTAAACGACGCCATATTGACTCGTTTATTCATTGGCACCCTCAAGGGGGTTGCCTTTGAATGGTTCATGGAACTTTTGGCTGGATCTATTCAGAAGTGGTCAAATTTAGAAAGGCTATTTCTAGCCAGGTTCTTCGAAGATGACACAAAAGTCTTTGTCCCTACCCTTCTTGCCACCAAACAGAGGAAGGGAGAGTCTATTAAAGCCTACGTAGAAAGATTCTGAGGCATGGCCCTGCGATGTCCTTCGGGTATGACACAAGCTATTTTGGTGGAAACCTGTCGATATAATTTGCAGACCAATCTCCTAGGTTAAATGGGGGTTGCAGAGTGTCGTTCCTGAAAACAGTTGGTTTCCCAAGGAGAACAAGCAGAAGAAATTATTGCCAGGGTTAGAGCTGAAGAAACAAGCAAACAAAAGCAGCCGGTGCAACGCAATCAAGGCTATGCTCCCTGGCCGAAGGGAAAGGATACTCTGGCCACTGATACCAATACTCGAGCGCCACCTGCTAAACAGGGCAAGGCATCGAGTCAACCAAGAGCACCCAAGCGGTACTCTTTCAAAGATGACCATGTGGACACCTTATTTCAGCTACTTCGGAAGAACAATAAGTTGAAGCTTCTTGAAGTAAAGAAACCAGAAGAGACAGGAAAAGTGGACAATCCCAATTACTGCCGCTATCACAAAATGTCAGGACATCCGACAAGGAGATGCTATGTCTTCAAGGATATCCTGCAAGCACTGGTCGATGCTGATGTACTCAAGCTGCCAGAACAGAAGACAGCATCCACTAACATGATATCGGTCCAGTTTAGAGATTTTCCACCTGTGACAGCTCTTAACGGTGTCATCCATATCCCCAAGGGAGAACAACACCTAAAGAATATTGACCCACATGGTCAGAAAGAGAAAGGGTTGGTACCCCTTACCACTCCGAAAGGAGAGATAATGTGGGTTCATCCCGATTTTCTTGAAGACCAACAATGGGCAAGCACATCGGCGAAGAAAAAGATGAACAATGCTAAATCATCCAATGTGATTAGCCCCTCTATGAACGAAGATGATGATCATCTCGTCCCTCTCACCGACTCGGATGAGGAGAAAGAGCTTCATGCGCCCGAACAAGAAGCTAATCCAGGTACCAGATCGGGAAAGACATACTTGAAAAAGTATGATCAAGTTGGTCAAGGAGCAGAAGAAGCGCAGACAAAGAGAAACAGAAGAAGCTAGGGGTTCTGCCCCTAAGAAGCCCGTAGACAAAGGGAAACGGAAGAAGCTCCGCTATAACAAAAATCTTCTTCAACCGAAGAAGCTGGGGGTTCTGCCCCTAAGACGCCCGCAGACAAAGGGAAACGGAAGAAGCTCCGCTATAACAAAAATCTTCTTCAAGAATCAAAACATTGAAAAGTGCAATAAAGGATTTCATATGGGGTGAAATAACAACCCCAAGATTGTTTAAGAAAAAGACCCCCAGCGAAATAGATTTAAACCAGTAGAAATGTATAAGGCTTCCAAAAGTGTATCAAATAATTAAGATCATCATGAATGAGTACCATGTGATAGCTTTCCCAAAAACATAAACTTTCCAAAAGAAATTCAATAATTCCATATTAGTACCTCAAAAGGCTCAAACCTTTCAAATTGCTCATATGGACCCCCCTTGAGTGTTAAGGAGCCTTGCAAATTGCTCTCTTTTACTGCCCCTCAAGTGTTCGGAGTCTTGCAAATTGATCTCTCTTTTACTTTTTCAGTGAGATCTTGAAATCATGTCTGGGGTAACTTTTAAAGAAACACTCTCAATTACCAAATAACCCCTCAAAAATGTTAGAGAAGCTCAAAAATGACCGTTCGATAAGCTTTAAAATGGTTTAGAGAGGATTTTTCACTATCAGAGAAGATGATGTTTGTGGATTTTGAGCCCCGCGTTCAATCCCACCAAGAAGCAGGTCAGTTAAAATTGAGGGGTAGAACTTGCATAAAACATTAGCTTTGAGGGGAATAGCCCCCCTCAGATCTAAATTGAGGAACCAATTTGGACCCCTCAGGATTGAGGGGCCTATGAGCAATTTCAAAGATGTTGGGAACTAATATCAAAATTATGCAAGTTTTATAATAGGCAACTTAACACCTAGACATAAATACAACAATAAGTGAGAGATTGTAAATGCAGCCCAAAGTGACCTTTTCCAAATATGAAAAAAGTTACAGTACAATGTAGGAGAGAAACCGATCAAAAACAAATCTCCTACTTCCTGCAATTAGATCAAACACTCACCCACATATCTCTAAATTGCACTGCCCTCCATCCCCCTGAGCCTTTGGACTCTTTTCCTCCTCCTGCTCTGTAAAGGTATTAAAATACACCAAATATACTCGTATTCATACACAAGTGATACACGTAAAATCCCCCAAAATCTTCAAAAAATAAGAAAGATCAATACAACTTGCTGAACTCTGGAGTCTGTGTAACTTCTCCAAGTCTAGGAAAGAAAGTCTCCCTTTCGATAATAAGACGCAACGACGCCATAATTTTTGTCAGCGACGCCCAAAGGAATGGAGCAAAAAAGCAAGCGTAAGCACATACCGATAAAGCCCTAACCACGCCATCAGAATACCACGGGCACGCCATCACAAACAGCGAGGCAAGGATCCCAATCCAAGGAGTTAAAACCGGGAGAGGCGGAAGCAAGAAAGCATTGATAACAATGAAGGCCAAGGAGGAAGAGCCGAGCAAGTATAAAGACCAACCAAGAAGAGGGTGAACGGTCCGAGGTATGAGGACGAAAGGGACAGTGTACGCTGCTACTATAGACCAAACGGCCCCCATTTTGAGCATAGCGTGTAAAATTGCTACGCTCTTTTCCGGGCGACGATTGTAGCAGAGTTTTGATAGGCTAGGACGAGCTAAGCGGGTGACTATCATGATCGCGAGGTACATTGCAGATTGGATTACTAGGACGGGGAGCTCGGAACCGTACCTGTTCAATATTAGATTTCAGAACAATGCTACATGAAAAGACTTCGTAGGGTAAATTTCACAAAAGCCCTTTAAGTTTGGCCACTTGACTCCACTTAAGTTCAGGGTATTTCAAAAAACCTCCCAAATGCGCTTTCAATTTTACACCACCCCCCCCCCCCTTCCCAAAAAAAACAAAAAAGAGAACAATGGTAGACAAACTGGTAAAAAAAAAACCAGAATGCCCTCTTTAAATTAACACTCTAATTATTAAATTAAATTAATCATTCCTAGATAACCAAACTTAATCGGGTATTGTGAAAATTACCCTTAATATTATTAGAGAGATGAAAGACATTTTTCCTTGGGGGAATTTCGGTCGCACATGATTTTCATATGCACATTCAAATCTGACAGTGTTAGTTGGGGGTTTAAAAGACATTTCTGAAGTTTAGGGGCGCTATCTCAGAAACAAAGCCAAACTTAAGGAGTTTTTTTGTGTAATTCACCAAAACTCTGTTTGGCTGTGTGGTTCTTAGTTTTCCAACAAAGACCGCATAAATTAGGGTTTTAAGGAGATTGGAATACTTACCCAATAGTTTTCCTCCGCTGCTCGTGCCATTGAAGGCCCAAGGGTAGAACAGGCCAAGCCCACCAATACCAAGGCTTGAACCATGGAGCACTAGGGAATGTTATAACACTGTTAGGTCCGCAGGGTATGCTCCAGCGAAGCTTAAGATCTGCAAGAGAAAGGAACACATAAATTGCTTCAGATTGTGTTAAGAGATAAATTAATTGCACTCTCTTTAGCTGTACTAGATGAAAGCCACCAAATTTTAACTTTTTCCTGTTGGAGAATAGCGATTTAAGAAGGGAACCAATCGCAATTT